TATGAAGTTTTCCTCTTGTAAATAAAGTTATACATATATTTATGAACTAGCGGCTTACTCTCGCTTCGTTTGGGTTCGCCTCTAGGAAAGCACAAACAGATCTATCCCACGGGAATCGTTCAGTTGTCCGGTATAAAAAGAAACCTTTTTTTTTTTTTTTAACGTTGGGAAATGCATTTACGCACGAAGTGTGGGACTCACCGGCAAAGCCAGTACTACCCACTAAAACCCAACAAAACCTTCCCCCGTCTTATTGGGGCGTCGCAGGATCGCTTACGCATTCAACTACGACGCCCCGACGGCAGGTCTGCCGAAGCAGACCACAACAACCACGGGGTTGCTCCACAGTCCACTCTGCTATCAGAGAAGTACCAGGAGCAACCCGCATGGTACACTGCCTTCCGAAGAGGGCCACCTCCCACCGCCCACCGAAGTGGGCCACCTCCCTGTGCGTTTCTTGGCTTCGCGCCCGGTTGGGTTGCCGGGCACTACTGAGCCCCCCCACCACGACAAGGTGAACGCACGTTGGGGGGGGGGGGGGGGATAAAAAGAAACCTGTTGTTTAACCGACAACATCAAGTATCAGCATGCCAAATTTTACTAAATTGTTGTGTATTAAGCTGTATAAGTTACTATAGTTTTTTAACTGTCCCCAGGAACTCTTTCATTTTTCGGGATGAAAAGTATCTAAAATGTTGACTGGTGATATATGGTACCACCCTACAAAATTTCATTTAAATCGGCCCCAACAGTTTCGGAGATTAGCCCGTACAAAAATGGTTAAGATTTAACAAATGTGCGACGTGATTCTTGAAATTGGCATTTTTTCTAATTTATGAACCGATTGACATGAAATAAACACTAAATGTTACCTAAGTGAAGCTTACTACAATATACTAGTGAAAACCACATCTAAATCGGTTAAGCCGTTTCTGAGATTAAAGTGCACAAACGCACAGACAAACAATCAAAAATTTTAACAATCATTGTTTTGGATGCTGTTTGCGTTGATAAAGGTCAAAAAATATTTTTTCTCATATATCTTCCATGTACAGACAGCGATCCGTTACATTTTTATTATATGTATAGATATACATTATTTAAGAGAAACATACATAGTGTACAAAATATTTAATATTCATCTGTGTAGTAAGTATATATATTTATGAAATGGGTTCGAATTCAGGTCTCGCACCTCCTTTATTTTTCACGTGCGAAATATTTATCATGAAATTTTTGTCACGATCACCACATACTGTTACTATAACAATCAAGAAAATCGAATAATCGATAACAATCTTTGTGCACTTAATACCTCATAGCACAACGTATCAAATCGCAACTTTTATAATTTACGATTTGATTAATTCTGCTGTCGACCACTCTGCCAATTTCAAGTGTCAGAAAAAGTATTTTTTAAAACTATAAAATAAATCAGCCTTCGGTTGCAACGAAATTTTTATCTAGGAAAAATTGATTTTTGGTCTAACAGGGATATTAAAATATCGGACAAGTGAGACTCTGAATCACATAGCCCTCGGTGTGGCGTTTCCATAGCATGAAACATGACTATTTTGTTTTACAAATTAATTTGGTACGTTTAAGTTAAAATAAAATATTTTCGGCCGAATTCCTAAAGTGGAAAATATAGTATTATATCTTAAAAACTACTTAATTTATCTTCTTTTAATAAGCTTGGAAGCTCTATTAACTCATTATTGTTTAGAATTTTCCGATACTTCAAATATTAGAGGAGAAGACGCCGCGGCGGTGTTTAACTTTAGAAGCATAATATAACTCTACATCTATTGGCTTGAACAAAAAAGGCCTTTACAAATACCTATTTAAATTTTTAAGACTCATTTAGGCTTTGTGGACTTAATCTTTATATTTTATTTTTATTTGACTGTAAAATTGTCTAGCGGTTCACATGAGATAACCTAACAAATTATCTAATTCTATTTTTAAATTTCTATTCTAAAATTCTATTCTTGTTATTATTTATTTCTATTTCTAAATCTTACCGAATATAGCTCCAATAGTCCTCGAGTAACTTGCTTGTGGCATAAGTATAAACGGACATGGCAAAATTATACAATATTTTAAGACTTTTGGCTACGGAACCCTAAGAATGATACACCAGCTGTTACATTACTATTGCGAATTAAAAATTGAATGCACATTTTTCACACAACGTTATTTTATGATATAACTCGTAATACAAATGACTATCAAACAAATCCAACAACAACAAACTCCTGTCTTTGTATATGCCTGTATCTGAAATTAACCATTTACTGGTTAATTTTTCTATTTTGCGTTATAAATACGAGTATTATGCGTTTCCAAGGCCCTTAGACCAAGTAGCAATCCTGAATGCCATGAATGGGCTATAAACAAATGTATTTACATTATCTAATATATAAAATTTCCATGTCACAATGTTAGTTACCGTACTCCTCCGAAACGGCTTTACCGATTTTTACCAAATTTTATATGCGTATTCAGTAGGTCTGAGAATCGGCTACTATCTATTTTCCATGCCCCTAAGTGATAAGGATAAGGGTGGTCCTCCCAGACCCCACCTCAGGGACGAACCCGAGTGGAGCGAGGGTGAGTCGCTAGTATATATATATATATATATATATATATATATATTTAGAACAAATAAAAATCCCAATTTCTTCAGTCTTATAATATTCAGTTTAGATAACTACTGTTTGTCTTACTTGTCATAAATAACTAATTTTAACGAGAAACCGTAATCTCTTCAACATGCTTAAGCCGGCATACCGGTATTAACGTAATAAGCTATTAAAAGTTTTAAGGGTACCGTCTAAGTTGTTATACAATATACATGTCTTATGTATGGAAATTCTGAATATTGTGCAGGAACAATTTTGGTTGTTGAATTTTCTTACCCGTTCACGGGGTAACTTTGAACGATCACTTTGTTTACTTACGTTTGTAGTACTCTCAGCAATGGTTATTCCCTACCGAATTTAATTAAGCTGTCTTTGCATTCAATGCTTACTAATCACACGACAAATTAGAGGATTTAGCTTACGTTGAACATAAGCTTCAGATGTCTACGATTAATTTACAGAAACATATAAGTAACAATTTCAGTAGCGAAATGAGAAAAATTTGGTGTTTAATCTGTCTGTTTGTAATGTCAAAATAACAGCTTTTTACTAAATCCATGTGGAATTATATACGGTATTTATAAGAAAAACACAATTTTTAAAATTTTTGTTTGTCTATCTGTTTGTTCCGGCTAACCTCCAAAACGGCTGGGTCGATTTTGACGGAACTGTCACTGGCAGGTATTTGATGTTATAAGGAATAACTTAAGCTACTTTTATTTCAGTAAACGAATTAATTAGGGTTCCGCTAATTAAAATGTACCACTATTTTTATAAAAATGGCTGTATGTTCTTCTGTTTGTTGAAGAAGATTTTGTGACTTTTAGTATGCACGTAAGCAAAGGTAGTCTATCAAAGTACAGCTTACGTAGTAGTATCAGATTATAATATATTAGTTTAAGCACATTAGATACACTTAATAAGTAATTAAAAATTTATTATTTATTTATCCTATGGATATCTAGTAAGTAACCGCCACACAATTTCGATATTTTCCGCAAAGGACGCGGCGCGTTGACTACGCGTCTGATATCAGTCGCACGCTACTGGTCGTGCTAGTCGTACGCTACTCGCGTCGCGTACACGACGCATAAAAATGGCGGCTGAACATGAATTCAACATAAAATTTGTACTGGATGTTGAAAAATATTCTTGTTTGTGCAACTATAAATCAGCTGACCCAAATCTTCTTTTTCGCCTATTCCTATAATAAATATATAGAAGAAGGTTATTTTTTTATATTTATATTATATTAAGGTATATAGAAGCAGAATGTCCTCCCTCATCCCCGTCACCTGGCATTGTACCCAACAACACAATAAAGAATGAATTAATACAGTCGAATTTGGGTAGCATCGTGTGCGATAATCGGTTTGATTAAGTAGCATACAAGTAGGTGACCAGCGGTCGCGTCTCAATCGCGTAGCTTATAAATATCTCTGTGGGAGAAATTTATAATTCCCTAATGTCATTGAGCTCATTTAAATTATCTTGACAATGTGCTATATAACTCGGTAGTGTCCAGAGTATGGTGATATAACCAACTGGTACCAAAAATAGATATTCTGTCACTCTTGAGGTCACTGACCAATTTTACCAAATTCCGTTAAATCAGTTGTTAACTAATTAATTAGTATTTACAATAAACAGCAGTGCTAAAATAAAAATAAATAAAATATATAAATAAAAATAAATTGTTGTTCATTAGCATATCACTTAAGAACGGCTGGATTGATTTGGTTACTTTTTGTAAATTATAGAATAAGGTTTTAAGCGAAAGAATCGAAATAGCCGGAAAAGAAGGCGCTTTTTTATATAGATTTTTTTCTATCACAAACAACTAGAATTGAGGACAGGACGTCTGTCTGGTCAGCTAGTATTTAATCCATATAATGGCCACAACGTTAAAATATAACTGACATTCAAAAAATAACGTAAAACCGGTTAGCCATTTCGGAATCTGCACACAAATAGACAGAAGGCTGTCAAATCTCTGACACTCTTTTAATTGGTTATTTAGATTTGATGCAATGCAATTGACAACATTAGTTGAAGATGGAATTAGTAGCTGCCTCGAAATCATACGCATAAATATTTATCAATTTTATTTAATATACATGTAAATCACCGACTAAAGTTATTCTAGTTTTTATTTTAGTATTTAAATATGTACATACCTATCACTTAGCCACAGAAATCTTATGATTGTATTTTTTGTATTATATATGTATATTTGAAATATTAAGAACTATAATAATACTAAGTTGAACTAAGAAAAAAAAGCTTGTTTAGAGTAATTCTAAATGCAATAAAAGATATGTAAAAGAGGAATCTGATTGAGTTCTTCTTTCACAGATCCGCTGCTCTGCATATATCTACTCCATATATTTTAGAAGCCATGAACAGGTGGCAGATGAAGAGAGAATAAGGACAACACCCCTCCCACTGCCCGAGACGCGTGAGGCGATAGTTTTTCCAATACACCGTGTTTCAGACAATAGTAAGTTTTAATTTGCATATATTGATTGATAACTATTACAGCATATATTTCATTAAGACTGCCTTCTTTGGTTAAGATCTTTCTAAACCTTTGTTAAAGAAGGCAGATCTATGTTCATGTATTACGAATAGTACCTATGTATAATATTTAACTTCCTACAACCTTGTCTTCCGTCGGCGTTTATTAATCTTTTTTATTTAATTTATATATTTGTGATACAATTTTTGGGTGCATCTCAGGCTCTACGTCACTATTTTCTATTGACATGCTGTACCTAGGATAAATAATTTAGGGTAAATTATTATTTATCCTAGGCACATGTTTACTAAATCTAATTAGATAATCTCCATTCTGAAAAAGATTCGTGTAAATTGAATTCCATGTAAGCGCACAAACAGAAAGACTGATATAATGATGTTGTATTTAATATTATTAAGATATATATACAAGTGTTCCGGTTTAGTTAAGACAAAACGCTAGCTTGGGTTTAGTTAACTAGAAGGCATTGTCTCGTTATCTAAGGGAAGCAGATAACGATCTAAGGAGTCATTAATCATTATATTCATAAAAGCGTGAATTTACATATTACAATAGGTATATAAGTGATGTTTTATTCCAAACAAGACCGCTTAAAGCCATGAGGGCATTTGGACACAATAATTTAGAGCCCTTTTAGAAAGTAAAAAAATATAAATGGTAAAGTTTTTACTATAAAATAAAAATAAAAACCTCGAAAAAAACTTCTTTTTCTATTGCACGTAACAGTTATTACTATTACATACTATTACAGTGTGTTTGCTTAATACATTAATATGAAAATATTAAAAATATATAAAGCTTATTCGAAGTGGTCCATTGGTGGTCCAATGGTCCATTGGCTGCAATACTGTCCTTTAAACGTTGAGGCCAGTTATCAATAGAAGCACGCACTTTTTCCATGGGAAAATTCTTCATTGCCAAGCGTATGGATTGTTTTAGGGACTCCAAATTATTATGGCATTTAGAGCAAGCTATACTCTCTAAAACTGACCATAAATCATAATCCAGCGGGTTAATATCGGGACTAGACGATGGTCAGTTTTCAGCTCTGATGAAGTCCGGAACGTGGGTTCCTAACCAAGATTGCGTAGATCTAGCTTTATGGTCCGGCGACGAGTCTTGCTGATAGGACTATTCTTGGTTATTGAACATAGTGTTGTTAAAGGACTTAACTACGTTCTCAAAAATGGTATCTTGATACACATGTGCTGATGTTTTGATCCCTTTTTACAAAAATATTTCTCAGTCACTCCTTCATAGCTAGCACCCCACCAAACCATCACTGAAGTCGTATAATGCCCACGTTGTACTCTGTTGACTAATTGGGAAGCTTCCGTAGACCTTTGTGCATAAATACGGTAATTTTGTTTGTTAAAATATTGCTCAATTGTAAAAAAAATCATCCGTAAACAAAATTTTTCTGTGACCTTTCCTTGCGTACCGCTTAAGGAGTTGTTTTGATTTTACCACCCTGTTCTTTTTTAAATTATTAGTTAAGAAATAACCAGTGCAGCTGCAAGTCCTAAGTCATCTTTTAAAATACGCGACATGGTTTTAGGTACTATCTTCATGTCCCGAGATAAAATCTTTTGCTTTCGGACAGGTTTTTTTCGAATTCTTTCCGACTTCTTTTTTCTTTTCTTACTGCTTTGATTGCCTTTTTCGTACGAACTCTACGTGGACGGCCAGAACTTTTTCTGTCACAAACAGAGGAGGTTTCATTGTACCTATCAATAGCATGGTACACAAACATTTGACTAATAACAAGCGTATGAAGAGTTTTAAAATTGTATTTGGCTACATACCTACTTTGTGTAATGCAATCACAGCGATTCGGTTCTCTTTATCACCCCACTCCATTTTAATATCACAAAATATTTTACAATGTATTGGCGCAAAAATGAGCAAACACAATGAACAATCATATAAAAATGACAGATTCCAAATTTAAATACATATAATATTTTATTTATTTTTAATTGTAACAGTATATATGGACAGACTATCTATATGATTATGCCAGCTCTAATAGGTATCTATATTTTAATTTTTATCGATTTTTGCTTAATACTTTAATTAAAACACATAAGTATGTACTTAGCAAGTGGTATTATATTAGAAATAATTCTTTTAGTGTTTGTTGCGTTTTAAATAACAGAATGTCAAAGATTTTCAAATTTCATTCATAGGTAATATACACACAATATTCTTAGTTAAATTCATTATTTTGTATACGTGTATAGCATAAACGTATATTCTTGTGGTAACCAAAGAAAATGTGTTGTTATTTGTGTTTATGTTTCAGGCGCACGGGGCTTCCGCGAGAACAATCGTAGGGAGTTGTGCATAGCGGGACTTATTTTGTATGTCCTACATATAACTGTATTTAGATAAATTAAACAAACTAGTATAAACTAGATAGGCACTTACTATCTGGTCATGATATTGTGAAAATTTATACGCTTGGAGACACGCAGATGAACAAAGGAAAGTGGTCGATATGTTTGAATTATGTATAGATTGTTTTATGTAACATTTTTATAATCGTTGTATATTAAAAGAAATAGCTCAATTTTTTTTAAGTTAATTATATTTATTTTTGTTTAAAAATCTCGAAAAATATTTATTAAATCTATAAATAAATGTTTTATACGGTTATACTTAATTATTTTTGCAAGTACAATATGAACATGATATAAGTTAAAATGAATGGATTTTTTTATTACTCCAAAGGATTTTACTATGTCGTATCGTAAAAAATAAACTGTAACAAAAATAGGAGATCGTATAAAACTTTCAGGTAGCGGTCTTATATGATACTACGAGTATTTTGTATGCAAGCGAGTTTAATGTATAAATATTTTACTGTCTTTAAAACTACTTCTGTTGTATTCTATGTACCTATACTTATATGCGAAATGTTGCCGAGGAATATGTTCTACATTAATTAATTTTCATAGTTATTTATTGAAATACTGTTATATTAATTTAATATGTTTTATGTAGATTATTAAATTATTAATGATAATGGACCTTAATTTGATTTTATATGATATTTCTCTGAAATTAGTATTTATGTTAAATCGTGTTTTCCGTACATTTAAGCTTTTACTGGTATTATTTCTCTAAATTATTGCAATATTGTGGTCAGTTAGTAGTAATTTGATAACTGTAATACGACGTATAACAGAACTGCATGTTGGTGTTTACGACTGAAAATAAATTTCTTCAATATATTTGGAATGTTGATACTATATAGTTGTGCCAACCCGAATTTATGTGTTTCATTAAATGAAATACACTTATTTACTTATTTAATTTCATATTAATTTGTAACAAAATAAACAGTAATAAAGCTTCATTCACACTTATTCTTATACTGGCATCCTCTCATCCTCGCCTCGCTCGGGTCCGTCCCTAGGTACGTTTTAACGGTTAGTATAGAATAAATAGACTATATATTATATGATGGCATATAGCATTCCTAAATAAACGGGCTATCTAATGCAAAAATAATTTTTCATATCGGATTAGTAGTTCCTGAGATTAGCGCGTTCAATCAAATAAACAAACAAACAAGAAAATGCAAAAAAATCTCGTACAAGTTCTAGTCAGTTACTAAATTGTAGATATGAAATGCCATTACACTCTGTGGTTTTACCTGCTATAATTTTTATATTTCAAACTAAGTGATACGTAAGCAAGCTTTCGTCTTTATGGAGTTTAATCCTCTAGAATGTATTTTGTATAATTATTACTCATTTGAATGCATACTTTAAACCCTAAATATAATATGCATACATATAATTAAATTAAATTTAAATGTATTGAATATAATAAACATACAATATTCTTTAATAAAATTCTTCTAAAATAATATATCCTAAAGTGAAACCTATTTTCTTTTACCGCAAGGAATAATTTATTATATATTGATTTTTACAATTTTTCATATTTTTTGCTGCACAGCTGATTTTTACAATTTTATAATAATAGTAAGATATAGTAAAATTGTATATGGCATTTGAAATATACGGAATGATATCTCATATAAAAATATATGAGACTATCGTCTCATATATTTTTAAAGTTTTCCAAGCAATTTGAAATTTATACTTTGTCACCTAGTACCGTCGTAATGTTTTAATAATTATAGAAATAAAAAATCAATAAAGTAAATTGTATAAATCTTGTTACAGACAGTACCTACCTACTAAAAAAAACAGAAAAGAAAGTTTCATTTTAAATGTCAAATATTCGCGTAAATCTAGAAAATATATAATTATCATATAATTTTTTGTTGTAAATTGAGTTGATTTTATATTGGCATGGCGAACGGCAAAAATACGAATTTTGAAATTTGGGAACGTAATTTGAATTTTGGAAATTTGGAACGAGATGGCTAAATGAGTAGGCTATCGAGTAATGTGTGAAATCGAATAAAATATTGAGTTTTATATATATTTTTTAATTATAGCAGGTAAACCTCTTTTTTCAATAAAAAATGCAGTATCTACTAATAATGTTAAAAATATTTGTATTAAAAAATATAAAAGAAGTTCTAAGAAGTTGATATAGTGTGGATGTAGTTTTATTTATAAATAAAATATAGAGGAGCAACTAGCAAAAGTCCAAGACTAGGAGGTTTCCAGAGAATCAAAATAATTTCCGTATTATTTACATATTTTAATATAAAAAGCTGTGAACGTAAACGTGGTATAACTTAGATTTATTGATATTGTGACATTTTTTAATTTTTGTGTTGGGTTGTTTGGCTAAGGCTTACCGCACACTAGGCAGCCAGGCTGTGGCGGCCGAAATATTGACCTGTCAGTTGTGTGTGTGTGTCAGTGTGTGCTGGCCAGCTGTGACAAAAGTTATATAGCTGCGCGACAAGTGCGTGGAGACTGGTATTTTGCTCACTTACATTGGCTGCGCGCAGCCAATTTGATGCTGTGCAATCAGGCGTGTTCTAATGGTAGCCGCAGCCAGAAATTCTTGGTGGCTTAAGGTGCGTGGAAGCTCTCACTGTACCATCTTCCAAAACATAATGAAAACGTAAAAGGGCGTTAAAATTATAAAATTAAAAAAATATTAAAAAGTAACATTATAAAATTGAACGAATCCTATTAAAATACAATACAATATGACCGTTTACAAAAACATGACGTTTTATTATTATTAATTTAAAAGGGGCAAAGGTTATTCCTCATTATAGGTACCTACTTTAAAAGATTTTTAATTTGACATTTTTTTAAGATTTCATACTTTAATGTTTAAATATTACGAATTTAAATCTTAACAAAATTGTCATTTTTGTTATATTGTAATTAAATAAAATCATTGTGTAAATAATTCTTACCTAAAAACTGTAACTCGACTACGGAAAAATATAACTATAATCAACTTTTCCATGAAAAAACTAAATACTACAGCAAAAAAAATGCCTATGTCAATAGGATAATAATAACGAATCGATTGACACTTTATCAAAATCGGATAAATCTTATAGGCGTTACGGTATTACATACATAAATACAAACGTAAATTAATAAATAGACTGCTAAAACATAAACTTTCCATTTGGATTTGCCGTAGTCGGATAAAAAATCGCAGCAGTAATCTTGCGTAACATTGAATCGCACAACATCTACAATTGTATTAAATAAGAATATTTTGACGAAAAAAATGAAAAAATGGAATCTAAAGTCCACCATGACTATGTCATGATCATGATCATATGTCCACATGGCTACTGCGTCCAGGGTTGACTCCAAATGAAAGATCTTCTCAGCGGTCAACAACACAGATACGAAATCAATTATATTATTATATCACGCAGTTGACTTAAATAGTGCACCCATGAATTGGTTATTAAAAATTATTTAAATAATTAATTATAGTAAAAAAACACACTTTCTTTAATGAACTAAAAAGTAAAACTAAAGCCTTTTAAAAAAATACTATTAATTTGTTATATGTATGCAGCATAAGTAACATAAGGATAACACAAAAATAATGTTAATGCTATATTGTTTTTAGATATACTCGTACATACATAATAGTATTTTATTTTAATTAAAATGTTAATCAAGTTTATAGGAATGCTTGTTGGAAATTTATAGACTTTTATACTATGTTTACCATTCGTTGTTTGTTAAACATTTTACTTACAAAATTTAAGCATCTGTCTAAAAAACTTAATATAAAGTTAATTATATTTTTAAAACAGAACAAATACAAAAATATTTCAATATGTTCAAAGTTACGCAAGATGACTGGTCTGAATAATTAACTCATTTTTGGTTCTGCAAATGGTAATTAAAATCAAATTATATGTATGTATTTTAATATAGTCTTACATTGTATATAAATGTCTCGTTAAATGAATAATGCAAGTAAATTGAAATATAATTAAATTTGAGAAAAAATGTTGTACTACATACTTAGTTTTATTTTCCCGTCCATTTTTCCCGTTTAAGGTTTAAAAAAATATTTATAGTGATAATAATCAAGTTATAGCTTTTGTGGAATTTGAAATCGATTAGAATATTATGAAATCTTTACACTAATGATAGCGTGCATTTTACATCTCCGCAAATGTTCACCTGAGTCCTATTGAATATTCCAAGACACAAGTTTGGCAATAACCTCCACCTGCGGCTAATGCAAACACTTGGAATATTTGTAACTCACCAAAATTTACGATTATAATATCTTCAGTTTGAAGATGATAACACTTATATAGATTTTAAAAATTAAATCAGTCGTCAGGAATAGATATCCATACTTATAATATTATAAAAGTGAAAGTGTGTTTGTTTGTCTGTCCTTCTTTCACGTCGAAACGGAGTGAAGGATTGGCGTGATTTTTTTCTGTGGAGATAAGTTGAGTGCTGGAGAGTGACATAGGCTACTTTTTACCGCGGGAGATTTACTAATTCCCACGGAAATACACGTTATAATACAATCCAATAAAATTTTATGATCAGAATCACTTGAAACTTGGTATTAATGGGGTATTTCTCCGAGATTGCGTTCTTCGTCTGATTTATCTGGCCATAAAAAAATATAATATTTTCACTTTTGGCTATATTCAACATATTCTTATGATTAAAGATAGGCCAAATAACATATATTTGAATTACGCACACATTTTAACCAAATAATTTTTGAGATATTTAACTTGATTTTTTTAGGGCCCATATGAATCAAAATTCGTGACAGATGAACCAGAAACAGGAATAAAAACAAAAAAAACCAAGTCTGTAAAATACATATAATATTACTCGTTTTTATTAATTATTACTTTTTTTTGATTGTAGATTTTATGATTTATGACTCTGGTAAGTGGATCACGTACAACAAAGTTATATCATTTTGCCTCCTAG